ATAGCATCTATGAGTCTTCTAACCCAGTGTGGGGGATGCTGACGTCACACTCCCAAGGCCTGAGTCAGAGACTCTGGCTACGAGACACTTCTCAGGCTCTGCGCTCTGCCTTCCCTGTCTGAAGAACAAAGGTGACAGACACGCCTTTTCAGAACAGACATGTTTAAGGGGAGAATGTACAGAAATGCCAGATGCTGAGACAGGCACACAGTGGGGACTCAGTATAGATCAGCCCCAGGACAGGCAGGCTTGTGCTCAGGTGTCGGGGCTCTGGCTATGCCCCAAAGAGGCAAGTGTGTGTTTGCATGCTTATTTTTAAGTGTGCTAATTTCTTCTTTAGAGGAATTATCATAATCGTGTTATTTCAATATTTTGATACAACACATGCTTAGTTTTCTCAAAGGCTTCTGGCTGATTGGGTGTGTTCCAGAGCCTTGGGGTTCTGGCTTGGATTTAAAAGAACGGACTTTGGTGGTCATTTGGGATTTGTTGGCATCCTGCCCTGTGTCAGCACCTGTTCTGGATGCTGGAGGACAGAAAGAGGGGTAACGTTTAATAGCATGAGACACAGGTAGCCAAGGGACAGTAGTCTGCCCTACTATCTGTAGGAGGGACAGATACAGAAACACCTGGGTGAGGCTTGAATCTAGAGCCTGGAGTGGTCCGTTTTTGTGACCTTGTTCATTGCATTGTAACTGAGTTCTTTCTAGGTGCCAATCACTGTACTAGGTACTGGGCACGAAACAGACTTACCTCCAGCCTTCATGGAGCCCGGGGCTTTGTGGGAGGAATATGCAAGCCAAAGGTAAAGATGAACCACAAACAGCTATAGGAGGTACTGAGTGCCATGAGAGACTTGCGATGGGTGGGGCTGGGAGGTGTCTTTGCAGAGGATGGACGGGACAGTGGAGAAGGGCTCTAGGAGGAAGTGACTCTGGCCTTTGCATTCTGGAGTGATGCGACACCCGTGGTTGATTCCATCCAGACGCTTGGCTCCCAACCCATCTTGGTGGTGAGGCTGAAGACAAGCTAACTCATGGTACATGGACCTGGGACACAGACATTAAAGAATACACCAGTGAGAATGCTGAGCCAGTGAGAAACTGGCATCTGTTCTGTGTCCTTGGAAAGGTCCCTTAATGCCCCGGAATCCCAGGAAGAGCAGCGAGAGTGGCAGTCCTGAGCTGGCAACGACCAGACCATGGGAGGACTTACAGCATCATGTTTGAGACTAAGATCTTGAACCCAAAGACCATGGGGTTCCTGAATGGGTACCTGAAGGATTCTAAGCCAGCATAGCCACACGTCCGGGGAGCATTGCTAATGATGGGAAAGGTACTGAGCCAGCCTAGACAGAGGGTAAGGACAATGTGACATGATGGAGTTTTACTCAGACATGAGGAAGGAAGCCATGTCATTCTCAGGGAAAAAATAGGAACTGGAGCTCCCGGTGTTCAGTGTCCAGACTCAGGCAGCTATCACTTGCTTTCTCTCATATGCGAAATTTAGATTTAAATACATATACATCCACATATATGTGTAGCATGAAAGTGGAAGTGGGGCTAAACTGGGAAAGGAAAAGAATCCGTTATGTGCCGAGCACCGTGCCCCCATGTCTGTCTGTACTCTGTGCACTAGAACCCAGTTCGCGAGCTTCGGGCAAGGGGCTGGAGGTTGAGAATACACACACAGACAAACCGACACACGCAAAGACAGACCGACACACGAACCTCCAAACACTGGTTCAGAAAGCCCTCTTTATTAACACCGTGTAGGCTTAAATACCCTGCAGTCAATGGCCAACAGGTGATAATGATAATCCCATCCTCTGATCCTCTAAACTAGGCACAGTTTCTAGTGACTTTAATTAGAAGGTTCTAGGAGGAAAGAACAGCTGAAGGCCAGGACTCATTAATCCCAACAGTTATGTACGTGGTACACCTCTGTGAAAATGTCGGAACTGAACCCGTGATTCTGTGCAGTGAAACGTTAGCAATAGTGATAAAGCCAGGACAGCTGTCCGAGCACGCGCAGCACGAGCGACTCAGTGGGATGATTCTCTGTCTCTTCATTCATTCATTCATTCATTCATTCATTCTTTGTCTTTTACACCCTGCCTCCCAATCCCACCCATCTCCTGCCTTACCCCAAAATAAAACAAAATAAAATTTAAGAGAAAAAGTGGGGGAAAGAAAGAAAGAAAAAAAGAAAGAAAGAAAGAAGGAGAGAGGGAAGGAGGAAGGTTGGGAGGGAGGGAAAATCTTGTCTTGGAAGCTCAGTGTGACACAGTAAGTCACACAGTAAGCCCTTTATCCATATATTTTTACATGCAGGCATTTATTGAAAAGAATCACTGGTACAGTTCAAGGCCCCGGTCTCTGCTGCACCATCGATGCTGGGCCCTCACTGGGACTCTTCCTGGACATCCTGTTGGGCCCTGTGTCGTAGAGATCCTGTAGCCCTGAATCTAGAAGACTGTACTCCTCCCCTGTGCTCCAGCAGATCACAAATGGGGTGGATGTTGGGCTGGGCCAACATCTAACCCTGGTCCTGGGACTGGGTAGCTGTAGGGCTGGTCAGCCTGCCAGCTTTGCCCTGTCTTCGCCACCAGGATGGGCTCATCAGCATTACCCTGGCTAGCTCACCCTTTGCAGTGATGAGCAAGGGGCGGGGCCAGTTCTCCTGCTTTCACATCCCCAGGGTTGCATCTCCCACACCTGCACCATCAGGGTGAGCGCTACCGTGTTGCCCAGCTGTGGAGTAGGAGCTACTCTCCCAGGTGCTGCAGCTGATGCAAGGACAGCTCTCCCATGTCCCCTGCCGATGCTGCCACAAGACAGATGAATAATGGGGACAGCTCTCCCATGGTCACAGCTTTGGTTCTGGTTCACCCACACCTCCATGGACAGGGCTGACTCTACTGTGATACCCAGGGGAGGTGTGAGTCCTAGGAGGGAATCTTTCCTTCACCCGTGCCACCACATGGTAGGTGAGGGGCATGGTCAGCTCTCCCATTCCCCCACTCTCAGGGCCAGCTCACCCATGCCCCTGTGAACAGGCTCAGCTCTATTTGCAGCCCGGGAGAGGCAGAGAATCCTTTCTCCTGAGTGCTTCAGTCAATGAGGGGCAGGACCAGTTCTCCCCAGTGTTGCAGCCAGTGAGGGGCGGGGCCAACTCTGCACAGTCTTATCCTCTCTGCCTTTGGTGGTACCAGAAGCCACGGACATCAGCAGAGCCTGGAGCTGCATCAGAGCCTGAACCCGGACATGCCCCCAGCAGAAGCCCAGGCCCAGACATCCCTGTGGACCTGGGTGGCAATGAAGCCACCCTCCTCACCCATTCCTCATCTCTTTTACCTTTTCAGTTATGCCTCTGTCCACAGGACATAAACTATTCTGTCTCTCTCTGTCCCTTATCACTCCATACATTTGCTCACCATAGTAGTACCCATCTGCCCGTGGCCGCAAGGTGCCAGGAGGGCCAGCGTTTTCTTCTTGGGACCTGGGACTCACTGCCCCAGGCCCAAGTGTGGGTCTCCTTGTCCGGCTTAGACCATCGTGGCTCATAGCAGGACCACTCTGAACACAACAAGATCATAATAGTGCCCAGTGTCGCCCAGTGGGTTCCTGGTTGGTGCAGAGGTGTTGCTGGGGTCCTCCAAGCCCGGCTAGATAGAAAGCCCGGGATGCTGGCTGCAATCTGTTGAGTTCCACTGCCCCACTGCATGGTGTGGGGGCCGGGACATGATGATTCTTTTTAGAGATGATTCTGGTTACAAGAAGGGGTGTAGGGATAGGAGAGAGCTGTGGGAGACCAGGAGGAGGCTGTCGTCATTGTCCAGGGTGGGGTGGACTATGTAGAGTTAACGTATTTTGGAGTAGTTGTATTGGAACTGAGAGGTGAGTGAAGGGGAGCATTGGGTTTGTGCTTGGAGGGTGACGTCATCTGATGAAGTCAGAGAATACGGGTGAGTGCAAGGTAGAAGAAGGGGGCGATGAGTGGGTATTGAGATGTCCCGCTGTGGTGCTTGGGTGAGCAACCAAGAACGTGACCCCTACAGGGCTTTGAACACGAGGGTTGTTGGGGCATCCGGAAGGGAGTATAAGGGAGAAAGAGAGGAGAGCTCAGGGCTGACCAAGACAAACTCCAACCTGAGAAGAAAGCCAAGGGAAGTCAGCAGTTAGGTATGGCCACCTCTTCCAGATCTATCTGTGTGGTAACTCCACAATAGGCCTGTAGAGGGAGCCAGTGAGCAAGAAGTGATGTTCATTCTGGAACATAAGGAACATGCCATGTGCCCCTGCTGTCATAGCTCTACCCACACCTCCCTATACACACGACTTCGTCCATCAATACATGAGAAAAGGCAAGTGCTAGACTTCAGGGGATAGCTATCTATCTAACTGCTCAGTCTGCATGCTGGATTCACAGAGCAATACAGAATGACAAACCATGTCCTTCTTCCCTCTGGGAGAGAATCTAGGACATCACACCTCTCCAGTCTCACATACTCCTGTGGCTCAGGCCTTCCATTCTTTGCACACACGTGTTAATGAAGTTTTCTCCTATTCACAAATACCTCTGGTGTCTTTCATCGCTTCTGGGGAGACTGTGACTGCCTGAAGCCTCCAGTCCCTAGGTCATCTGCTTACCCTACTTGACCATTCTCCTCTGGACCAAGTCCCGCTCCGTAAAGTGGGTGGCCGAGGGAGGGTGGTTCTCAGTTGACCATGGGCCAGATCTGCTGGAAAATCAGGAGTAGATTCAAGGAAACCCGCTCTCCAGGAGTCCAGGCTCTTGTCTGCAGACTCTTCAGCGAGAGGAAGAGTCACTGAGGAGTGGAGCAGGACCTGAGTCAGGAGGTCGCTAGGCCTTCTGCCTCGTATGGTGGTCCTCTCTTTGTCAAGGGCACTGTTTCCACTGCTGCTGTTACTGATGCTATCGAATGTGTTCTGAGAATTTGAGGCACTGACCCCACCCCGTCCCTCTGATGTTTTCAGACCTACAGCAGCCAGAGCGAGAGCAATGAAGACTATGAGATTCCTCCTATAACGCCTCCCAACCTCCCTGAGCCATCCCTCCTGCACCTGGGGGACCACGAAGCCGGCTACCACTCGCTGTGCCACGGCCTTGCGCCCAACGGGCTGCTCCCTGCCTACTCATACCAAGCTATGGACCTCCCAGCCATCATGGTGTCCAACATGCTGGCCCAGGATAGCCACCTGCTGTCTGGACAGCTGCCCACGGTGAGTCCATCTCCCACATGGGCCCCACGGCTCCAGCAAGGGTGGGTTTGAGGGGAGCAAGTGGCAGGGCTGAGCTGAGGAGCCCTGATCCTGTGCATGGATTGAGGTTTGCTGGCTAAATTCGGAGAATCTGCAGAGTGTGGGAGTGCATGGAAGGAAACTGTTCCTTCTACAGCTCTGTTCGTGGCAACTTGGGACTGATTTTATTGGTTGTTGATAGTATAACCTTAATTTTATTTCTAGCAGATTTATTGAGATATATGCATGCCATCAATTCCCAAACATAGAGTGGGTAACTATGTCTTCCTCTCCCCACACCTCACACACACTGGAAGAGGCTTCAGTCCTACAAGTAGTGTTTATTGCAATCCCAGCGCTGGGATGACAAGCGCATGCCACCGCGCTTAGGTCCTCGTGTTTGCAAGGCAAGCACTTTACCAACTGTGCTACCTTTCCAGGCCAGTGCAGCCTGGGGACTAACGGTAAGAGCACCCATTCCCGCTTGTCTACTTTGCCAAATAATGGCTGGGGCTCTACCTACTTCATCTCAAACACGGTGATAGGTCTTGATGGCCGATGCTGTGATTCAAAGACAAGGAAAGAGTCCCTGGGCTCCAAAGTCCAACAGTCTTTACTAACTGTGGCAGCCCAGGGTAGGGGCCTGTGGGGACCATGTCGCTCCTCATCCCTGTACCATGGCTCTCATTGCCTGGCTCTGCCCTGCCTTGTGTTATAGGAAATCCCCAGCAAAGGTACCCAGAGTAGTGAGGATGTGTTAGGAAATGAGCTGAGAAAATGGCAGGGGCGGACCAGATGGAGGCCACGTGACTGTGGAATCTGAACCAGTCACCCACTTGGAAGAGGAAACTGGGCTACTGCGTTGTTGAGAGGGACAGAAGATCAGGATTCCTGGAGAGCAGAGCACACGTTTCCATTGAGTTATTAATTAATTATTGACAAGGTCTCACTGTGCAGTTTACTCTGGCCTTGAACTCACGACCTGCTTGCCTCTGCTTACATCAGGCTGACAACCAGGCCTATGAGGAAAGTTTCAGGCTCATGGGAGACCCTGTCCAAAAAACCAAGTGGGCAGTACCTGTAGTTGCCTCCTGGCCTTCACACATACGTACTGTGACCAGTCTCGCAGCAGCCTTCCCGAGCTTCCCGACCACAACAGCTCCGGTCCTTACAAGGCCCGCTGTCAGTCGATCACAGACCACCCCTGACTCCCCTTGGAAATAAACGATCGCTTACACAAGCACCGTGCGAACCAGTCCTTTGCAGCTTTCCTTACAACTGGCACATGTTTAGTATGCGTCTCAAATGCACGGTCTCAGCTCTCCATTAGTCTAGAACTGCGGGGGTTCATTCGATTTTATATCCCCTCCTTACTTAATGAGAGCTAAGCCAGACCTTGTTACCCAGGGCAGATCCCCCCACACACACACCGAAGGGGAAAGCCATGTACGAGCGATGCGCTGGGGTAGGATGGCTAGAAGGCAAGCGGCCTCGACAACAAACAGAACTTCTGAATTTGGGAGTACTGCGAGCACCAAGTGTGTGTGGGTGTGCCATGCCGGCTGCGTGGGTGGGTGGGTGGGTGTGCCACGCCGGCTGCGTGGGTGGGTGGGTGTGCCACGCCGGCTGTGCGTGTGAAGCAAGGATTATGGAAGCACCTGCTGGGTGTCAAGCAGCATGCAGAGGGATTTGTAAATGTTTTCTCACACTACGCTCCTCTCCACTGAGAGAGGCAGGGAGGGCCACTCCACTGAGTGATGTGGAGGGCTGGAGGCTTCTGCTTCCCATGGCTGCTCTAGCAAATCCCCACAAAGCGGCGGCTCAAACGCACCAGAGATCCAACTACTCACAGCCCCAAAGGTCCAAAACCAGTAACTCAAGTCGAAATCAAGGTTCTGGGAATCTGTGCTTGCACAGGAGATTCTGGGGCGTCTGTCTTTACCTCTTCTAGCTTCCAGAGCAGTGGTTCTCAACGTTCCCAATGCCGCGGCCCTTCAGTACAGCTCCTCATGGCATGGGGACCCCCAGCCACAAAATTATTTCACTACTACTTCATGACTGTAATTTTGCTACTGTTATGAATTATAATTTAAATATCTGATATGAGACCAGGGACATGACCCACAGGTTAAGAACCATTGTTCTAGAGGCTTCCCTGGCTTGTGGTTCTGTTTCTCCCTGGTCTCTGGCTTCTCTTTTATTAATGATAGCTCCCTGCCCTTCTCATATGGACACTTACGAGGGACTGTAGGTCTAATCTAGAATTAGACCAACGTTGTGGGCCTGAGCCTGAACTTCGTCTGTAAAGGCCACTTGCTCTTGTGACATTTACAGGCCCACGGACTACGGCTTAGTATCTTTTCTTTCTGAGTGTGTGCACGCATGTGCCACGGCACACCTGTGAAGGTCGGAGGACTCTCTTTCCTCCATGTGGGTTCCAGGGGTCAAACTCCAGCTGTCAGACTTGGCAGCAAGCGCCTTTACCCTCTGAGCCCTCTCGCTGGGCTGTGATTTAATATCTCTAGTAGGGTGTGGCACTTTCCCACCTGCCCTGCCAACTGATCTTCTTGAACAGCTTCTGGGTGCCAGGCTTGGCTACAGGCTTTGTGGTCTCGGGGACTCCTGTACCTAGACCAGATGTAAGCAGAGAGAGGATCAAGAGTCTGGGATGAAGTTCAGATGTGGTATTGTCCCCCGAAAGCCGATATGAAAGGCTCAGACCCCAGGATGATGATACTGTGAGCCTTTAAGAGGACGAAACTAGTGGAAGGCCCTTAGGGACAAAGGGATCGTGGTATTCTGGTCTCTTTTCTCTCTGGTTTCAGATGTGGCCCTTCACTTCTATGTTCCCATCATGCTGTGCTACCCTCAACAGGGGCCCAAAGCCATGTGTTCCCTCCACCGAGTCAAAACAATCCTTGGTTAATCCTGTGAGTCGACCCAGGGATGTTGTTATAGTTCTGGAAAGCCAACAGATGCAGTCTGCTTCTCAAACAATGTTGTAGATGTTCAGCTAGTCGGTGGGGTCTGTGTGCCTGGAATAGACATTTGAGTCGGACCGGGGAGGCAACAGCTTTGTATCTGGGAGCACTGGCCTTCGTGGGGTGGGAACATGATAATAGACAATTTCTGCGGAGTACCAAGACCCCAGGACCTCAGCGGCCTCGTCTGTCCAAGGCCATCGTTAGCAATACTGACTGTGGCTTGGCCAGTGGTGGAGCCACAGTGCAACACAGGATAGCAGATGATTCTGTAAACTACCTTGTCCCTCACATGCGACGTGACAGTTGGGCAGGAGGCAGACCCGTAGGCTGTCTTTGTGAGTGAAAATGCCACCAACTCTCAAGCCGAACTTCCAGAAGTCACACCTTCCAAGTCCTTCCAACCACCTCCCGCTTCAACCAGAGGATGAAGGATTGCACAGCCAGGCTCCAGGAGTACCGAGGATGCCTGGATGTCAGGTGTTGTTCCCAGGAATGCCATCTCTACATGAGCAGGTGAGACTTTGCTCTTTGGAAGCCATTTCATCAGTGCCAAGACCTCCGTAGTGCTGACTCCAGAGGCCACCAATGCCTTCTGGTCCCCTGCTTGATTAAGTCTCACAGGCATGTGGAGGCAGCTCCTCTCCTGATGCCGCCACTGGGGATTATGAACGATGCTGGAACCAGACCCCTTTGCAAAATTAAATATGCTCACGGCTTTCCCCCTCAACTTCCATGTCTTAACTGATTAAACATTCATTTCCAAGACAAAAAGAGTCAATTTAGTATGAAAGATATATTTTGCCAGTTTAATTTAAAGCACGGTACCTCCGTCTGACCTCTATTTTCATAACTCGATAATTTTATCCTATGTTGATTGTTTCATTTTGAGAGAGATATTGTATTTATAAATCAGCCTCTAAAATGCTCGCAGAAACTCAGAGAGTGGAATTTATGGAGCTCTTCGTGGAGTCTGAGATCACTTCTGGAATCCTCTGGGAAACAGTTCAGGGTCTCTGAGTACTGAGGGGAAGGAGTGTGCCCGGAAGGGGTGGGGCTTCATCTCTACCACAAAGGAAAACCCTGCCTTCGGGGAACCAGAGATACCCCAGGGGTGAGGGAAAGACTTCGGCAGGTGGAAGCAGACTCACCATGCTTCCTCACCACCACAGTGGTGGTCAGGAATCTGGGATCCTGAGCCCTTTGGTCCTCTGAAGTGGTATGGTCTCATCCTAGTCCGCAGTGCGGGAGCAGGACAGAGATCACGCAAACATTCTCCTCCCATCTTTGAGGACTCTGGTTGTGCGCTTAGATGTGTGAAGGCTGAAGGTGGATGCTTAGTGTCTTTCTTAATCACTCTCCATCTTATCTTTAAATTATCTATTTAGCTCTGTCCTGTGGCAAATTGCTACAACCCTTAATAGCATAAAGCAATTCATTTTAATTATCTCCCAATGATTCCTGAGTCAGCTGAACTGCCTCTTGTGATTTCTGGGGTCAGGTAGCCATTTGCCTGGGCCCAGTGTCTAGGATAGTCTTACTTCAGCCCCTGGCTTGTGTCCCTGGGAACCAGCTGAGGTATCTTAGCTATGAGAAGCCTGAGAAAGGGTGGCCCTAGGGTGCAAACTTTCAAACTTCTTATCAGTTCCTAATCCTTTGACCAAAGCCAGTCACATGACTAACCCGAGAGTAAAGCAATAGAGTGCTAAACCCACCTCGCCGAGAGAGAAATGGCAGAGCCATACAGAAGGAAAGGGCTCAAGAGACAGGATGGTGGCCATTTCTGTAACCTGTAGCTTTAACTGTCAACTTTACCCAACCTGGAGGAGAGCTTCGACTGGAGAAATGTCTAGATCAGGTTGGACTGTGCATGGCTATAGGGGATCGAATTGATTGTAGATTGATGTAAGAAGACCTGACCCACTGTGGGTGGCACCATCCCCTGTTGTGCAAGCAGGCAGTGTGCTTGCGTTCACTTCTTCCTGGTTTAGCTGTGGCCGC